GAATCAACAATGGATAGTTCTGCTAGGATTTTGCCTGATCTGAACAGGTTTTGGGTTGGTTTTTTTTGAGTAAGCTTCTTAAAACAGGTCTCTTCACCTTAATATATATTTGTATAGCTGTTATACATACATATATATATATAAAAAAGTGTGCACGTCTCTCAACTCCTCCAAACTGTGCACTGAAGGACAGAATAAGCAAACGGTTCTTTTCAAGATGTTGGGCTTATTCTTGCTGCTCTCTGAGCCAAAACAAGAGCTCTGCTGCAGTCGCGGTCTGTGTCACAGCCTGCCAGCTCTTACTGATGCTCTCTACAGATATCCTCCCGTTCCCTTTCCAACATCTTTGAGACTTTAGATCAGAAGTCTAAGTCCACCTTACAAAGGGTATGCAAAATTCTAACCAAGATGCAGACATTAAGACCCATAATTAATTCCTTCAAAAAAAATTGATTTCTTCAAGTGTTATCTACACTATTGTTTTATTTCCTTTCTCTTCCCTCTCTCATAATTGCCCAATAACCACAATTCTATGTTTATTTAAGGATACATAATACTCTGTATATTTAATTAACTGCATTAATTTATATGTATGTGATATACACACACAAAAAACACCTTAGGTAACACATTCTCCTAACAAATTTTAAAAGACTTAAAGTCAGTTTCTAAAAAGAGTAATTGTTTTTCTTTCATTTTTTTGTTACAACTGGAAAATTTTCATTTTTGCTTAAGCTCATTAGCTAAACAGTAAAATGTTTGCCACTGCAGGAACAAAGAATATTTAGTCACTTAATTCCGCCTTATTACACCATTTGTTCTTTTAGTACAGGGCTTTTGCGGATCATCCATAACTCAGTATTAAGTTTAGTAGTCTGGGAGGAGCAACTGCAAATCAAATTAGTAGAACTGAATCTGCCCTATTTCAAACAGAAAGAATTTCCCATCATTAGGAAAGTTACTAAATAAGGTATTTAGTAAGTCAAGTAAAGGCAAACATTTAATGTAAATCCAAAAATTTAAAGCTATCAAAACAAGTTACTAAAGAGTCCAAACACAACCAAAATACAAACTTTTTTGTGCTAATATCTGAAGACCAGCAAATTATGTCTTTGGGTCTTTTTTAACAATTGTTAAAAACAATTGTTCTCAATGGTATAGAAATTGCATAGGACAACTTTTCATTCCGAAATGTATTCTAAATAAAAGCTCTAACAAACCTGACTTCCTCAAGATTAAGATTTAAAAAAAAAGACACTTAACAGAACAACTAATCTGCCTAAAAAGTAGAATGCTTTCAACTTATTCTCAAGAAATTAAGAATTTTCACTAACAAAAGGAAAAACAACAAGGGTAAATTCATCAGTTTAACTCTGAAGAATCTGGAAAAGTGCAAATCCTGGTTACACCTTTTTTGAATCTAACTTTCACCTCACTGGCAAACTCAAAAGACATAAGTAATTTGTATTTTTATTTTTTTTTTTAACAATACCTTTCAGAAACTGGTCTAGTACATATTGTAAGCCTTAGAAACTTCTTTAACAAACTAAGCCCAACTCAATATTGGTCATTATACATAAGAACAAGACCATATATACTCAATATACTCAAAGCATGAGACAGACATCTATATTCAGGATGCGAAGATACATAGTTAGCCTCTAAAAGTCCTACTACCTGTGAGACATTTCCAAGTGGATGCCTTTTTCAAATGTATGGATGCAAGTGAAATTACTAATAAATACCATTTTATCTTAGAGAGACCTAAACAACCCAATATTAGCTAGACAGTTATTGAAAATCTGAGGTTGTACCAAGCAGGTAAGTCATCGCTGAATCAGTAAAAATTCTTAAACTTCTTGATATTTTGAAGACACTTTGCTAAAAATGAATCGTTTTAAAGCATACCAATTTTCATCAATTTTATATTTGCTGTATTTGATGTAACAAAATAGCTCACTGGTTTTCTGTTTTGAGAAAGGAAAAGTAAAGTTTCCCACCTAGGGTTTCTATACTATTTTTTCTAGAGTCACTATCTTTTTAAAACTGCAAGACTTTTCCAAATCTCTTTTTGATAAACTCTCCAACACTTTTAATAATACCAATGTTTTAGTTTCCACGTGCAAGCGTTCTGTCCATATCACTAGTAAATCTCATCCTTCTCTGAACCTCTTAATTTCAAAATCTCTTTAAAACTCCATTCCATTCTTCATAAATGCTAATAGCTACATTGCCTTTTACTCAAAATTTCAAATTAAGCACCTAGAAGCACTTGCTGATTCATTTAATATAATCCATAAGGAGTCAGACGTGGTTTGTAAGCAACGCTAACCTTATTTCTACTGACTGCACATTATTTCACAACTATACACCATGAAGTTGCAGTTACCAAGTTGCAGTTACCAGACTTGGTTATGTTCCTCTGCAATTCTCCACCAGTATTTTCCAGAGTGCCAACTTTGCCCTTCAGATAATACTTTTTAAACACAATCATCTATAAAACACTCATTTTCTAAGCAACTATAACATTCTATATAATCACTGTTGCAACCTCTTTAATTCAGTATTTGTATTGTTTTTAAAGTAAATACAAAGAGGGAAAGTTACTCTGAACATCCTTTTTAGACTCAGAAGAGTAACAAGAGGAAAGATTCATAGCATTAACAAGCTAGCAAGGAATAAAACTAAATGCACAGAAGTTATATAGTACAAAACAAGTGAATCAGCAAATTTAAAAGAATTAGGAAAAAAAATCAGTAATTCCTATATAAATTTCTGACTTCCCATCACTAATCCTACTATAAGCACAGAAGTAGTAAATAGTAGAAAAACTACCTTAACTGTTGAACTATAGCGTCCAATCTCTTAATGTGCATTACTATCTATAATTCTCAGAGCCAAAAGGCACTAAAGCCAAAAAAGGGAAAGATTAAAAACTTAAGGTAGTAAGAATAGTTGACAGTTACTGCAATTACATGTATACTTGGCAAATCATCTTAGAAAACACTCCACCAACTAAATTCCAAAAGCGGAAAGATTTATTCTTTTTTGGGGTAAAGCAAGAGAAAGCACCCTTTATCACTAGCAGCTAGTAGCCTCTCACAGGTGTAAGAGCTGCCTTATTTGCATTTTATGTAGACTTTTGAGGCTGTAGGTTATTTTCAAGTATCAGTACTTATAAAGGAGTGCAAGTTGAATGTCTATCTGACAATTAATTGATTTTTTAAATTAATTATTGGGCAGGTACACAGATCTTTCCAATTCATCAAATCAGATGATTCTGGACTAAATGGACTACAAATAAAACTATAGTTATTTTCTAAGCAGCTGGTTTATAATGCTGTTTTTCATTCCCCACAAAAAACTCAGGAACTTCAGATCACAAACATGGCACATTTTAAACAGTATCCGGTTACTTGCCTTTGGAAGTTTAATAGGTGGCTCTTTGGATTCCTCTTCTTCATCACTGTCCGAATCCCCACTCTGTACACTGTTCTTTGAAGCCAGAGATACAGATGCTTCCTTTTTTTGCCACTCCAACACGCAATGGCGGACATTGCAGTAAACATTAAAAGCTGAAGGGTTGCTATGTAATCTGATATCTGGTATGGTTATCGTACTCTCTAAGTTTTCAGTCTGAAAAACAAGATTAGTTTTAAGTTTATTAGAAGCTTCAAGCTTTGCTAAATCAAAGAAACTCAACGGTCTAAATAATTTTGGCCAACCAAATGATTCTCAAACTGGAGATCGAACTTTCCTGCTAAATTACCAATTATATTTCAAGCAGGGAAGAAAGGAGGAAGAGAAAGAAACTTCGATATATTGTATCTGGCTTTAGTCTCTACCTCTCACAACTCAATGAGGACATTGGGACAGAAAACAAAAGCAGCTCAGGCTACAGAATAGTCTAAACCTGTGCCACAGTCAAAAGACTAGTAGAATCCTGGTTTCATCTTCTTAACAGGGGTCAGTTGTTGGGTCTTTTTTTTTTAATTAGTATTATTTCATTTTAAAATGCATTATTTGTTATTCTAGTTGTTAATTTTAATCTATTGGTAAATAAAAAAATTTAAACTGTTTGCTAAACGTACATCAGAAATTAAAAATATCATTAGTTGTTCTGTTGTTAAATGAAAATAGATGGCAAGGTCAAAAACTCCCCTAGCAGGATGTTGTGGACAATAATGTTGTGTAACTAGAAAAGAAATAAAAACCTAATGGACAAAGTACTGAATGCAAACATCTATCAAGGTCTGTGAAGTAACAGGACACCATCCTGTTTTCAGGAGCCCTGAGCCACAAAGTAAGAGATGGGAAACTGTTCTGAGAAATTACCACTACCCATGCCCTTCCCTACCACCCAACTTTTCCTTATGTTGTGGTTTAGACAGGCCAGCAACTAAATGTCACACAGCCATTTTCTCACCCTCACCCCATACCCAGGGAATGGGGAAGAGAATTAAAGGGGAGAAGGGAAGGAGACTCATGGGTTGAGATAAGAACAATATAATAATAATAATAAATGAATATATATGTATAACATTAATAATATATACATATGATAATAATATATACAAACAAGTGATGCATAGTATAATTGCTCACCACTTGGTGACCAACAGCTGTCTTGTCCCAGTAAATGATCTCAAAACAGGTAAGTCCCGACATCGCAATCTCAGAGGATTGAGAGGCCCGAAAAAAGAATGAGTGAGAGACAGTACACCAAGAGTACATGAGTCGGGGGGAGAGAGAGCACGCACAAGTCCCCTCAAGAGAGCTCCCCAAAAAGCAAAAGCCCTTCTTCCAGGTCAATCCTCATCTGTACAAACACTTGAGAAGGGATGGTGGGAGGTGGGGGAAGGGCTCTTTACATTAGTGATGGGTGATAGGACAAGAGGAAATGGGTATAAGCTTAGTCAGGGGAGATTCAGGTTGGATGTTAGAAAGAATTTCTTCTCTGAAAGGGTTGTCAGCCACTGGAATAGGCTGCCCAGGGAGGTGGTTGAGTCCCCATCCCTGGATGTGTTTAAGAAAAGGGTGGATGAACTACTTAGGGATATGGTTTAACAGGAGATTAGGGAAGGTTGGACTGGATGATCTCTAAGGTCTTTTCCAACCTAGAAATTCTATGAAATCTATGTATACTGGGAATGACATTGCATGATATGGAATACTTCATTGACCAGTTTAGCCCTCAATTCCTAGCCCAAGTTCAAATCATAAGGGGAGTTGTGGGCCCTTTGTCCCGACTGTGCTCTCCCCCAGTCTGTTGTGCTCCTGCATGCTGGCAAGAACATGGGAAGCTGAAAAGTCCTTGAGCCCTCAGTGCCAACTATAAACATCAGCGCACTATCAACGTTCTTCTCCTAACAAGTCCCAGACTAAAACCAAAACACAGAGCTCTTCTAACTGCTAAAAAGAACAACTAATTGTCCCAGTTGAAACCAGAACACCTTGATATCTACTACTGGTATAGTACTGTCAGCCACTGCCGAGACATAGAAGAGCTTTCAAGAGGCTGTCAACAAACCTGCAGAAATATTAAGAAAAAACATTTTTTTGAAAAACATCTTTTAAATTCTGCCCCATACTCTCCCTTTCTTCAACAGCAAGATGAGACAGGAGGACTGATAGACTTAAACAAAACCCCACAAGAACAACAATAAAATCCCCAGGCAGGGTTATACCTTTTCTTTGACTGTGTACTACCAAAGACTAAGCTGGTTTGAGCACAGGTTATGAAAAAACTGGACTTCAGGCATATAGGAGGAACAAATTCCCTATAATATCTCAGTGTAGACAGTGGGCACAGAGACTAAATAAGGAGGGAAGGACTGGGTTAAAAGTGCAGGACAAATTTGTTTGAACACAGAAGGCAAAATTTGGAGGACGATTAGGCTAGACTGAGTCAGGGTCATAAGTAACAGTACAAAGTTATTTTGGTTTGTTTGCTGTATCTTCGGGGGGTGGTGAGGGTGAAGGCTTTTTGTCTTTTTATTTAAGGGGGACAGATACCGTGAATGACCATATCCATTTGGCAGGAGGGCATGCGGTGAATTACATTACAGTGATTTGGAACAGATCAGAGTGGAAACATTCATCTGTGAGAGCAGTGATGCGAAAAAGGACCTTAAACTAGCAGAGGGAGAGGGAAAAGAATTTTGAGAACCAATGAACTAGATAATGTTTTAATGGGGTGATTTATTTTTCTCAATATGGTAGCCACAACTTTGTACATTAAAATACAGTGATGGTTCACAACACATCTGCATCTAATCTTTTAATTATTACCACAAATAACATGGGCTTCTAAATTAGACCATTTAACACCGTATATTACACAACTAAACAGAAAATTCAAAGTAATATCAAAATATTTCATAGTTTACATATTTCCTTTTATTTTTGACTACAATGTTATTCTAACTGTACTGGTACATATTTGCATATCCTTCCTTTCTGTTATTACTACAAAATTATTGCAAGCTAAAACATTAAGAAGTGATGGTTTATTCTGTAGCCTATTTTATCCAACACAGACAGTGTGTTAATTTTTCTTACCTGTGTCAGTGTTAGCAGTAAGCACAAAAACATAATTTTAAAAAAAGCTAGAAAAAGTTCCTTACATACATACTGAAAGTTTCAAGGTTTTTTTTTTCCTTTTTTTTAACACAACAGAAGTTCTGCCATTAGAGATTGAAAGACAACATAAGTTTAGTCCCTGTTCAACATGAGTGTCTTCAAAATAATGTCTACTATTAAAACCCCACAATATTAACCAGTCAAAAGACTCAAGATACAATCTTCTATGTTACTCCAGCATCAAAATAGATTTGGACTGAAACAAATGATAATGAACTCCTACATACTTTAAAATTTATTTGGCATCAGAAAACTAAACAGTTATTACATATGACTTTTCTGTATGTCAAATATCCATACACATACCCTCAAGAGATTTGCAGCTACTGTTAAGGCAAACACATAATATCAACTTTCAACTTCAAAGCTAACTCAGTTGAACTGCACAGGTTAAAAAAAATTATTTAATAAGTCTACTATGCATTTCCTGGTTTACTTACGGTTACAGGAAGAGAAAAATATCTAGATTCTATGAAATATCTCTATCTGAATTTCACTTATCCAATTAGTATCATGTACAGTAATTATAACCTTTGTGAAGAATCTCCATTCCAGTTCTTTCTTGTCAGGAGCTCAGCTTAGTCTTTGTTCCAGAATAGCCTAAATTCTGTAGCTCACGTAGTGTCTTTTGAAATAGGCTGGCCAAATTGTTTAAACGACACAGATAATTTTAGACATTACACTGCTAGATAAAATATCAATGTATGTTTTCTTGCCTATTTATAATAAGCTGACTAATTTTCAGAAATAAACTCCTTCCTTATCCTCAATATAACTATTAAAAAGTCTCTTACCTAATGCTTTAGCACTTTAGGCATTCTATCTTTCTGTGTTTCGTGTCTCACGCTTCTACAAGAGTGTACAAGCTATAGTTATAGACAATAATCTCTTACCCAGACTTCAGGACAGTACAACATTCTCCAGAAAATCCTGCTCTATCTGAACAGTGTAGCACTAGAATACACAACTCAGAACTAGAGTTTAATTCCTAGTTGTGACGTTAACCCACTGCTTACATTTCTTAGTTCATACCTCCATCTTCCCTTCACAATACCTTATCTTTGAGACCTGTAAAGATACTCCATTCTGTTATACCATTGACAAATATAGTAGCAATCCTAACAAAGTCCCATAAGAAAATTTTGAAATTCACTACCTGGTTTTGTCAGTTTAAAAACACTTGCCTTATAACTGTACTAAATAAACATGTTTTTGAACAATAAGTTGGGTTGTAAAAACAGGTTAAAATTTAAGGATAATTATAGCTTTCACTGTTTACTGTCTTTAAATTGAGGGGGAAAAAACCCTCAATTGAATTAACATTAAATGTATAAGCATACAAATACTTAGCATGTCTCAGAGCAAAAGAAAAGTGTGGAATGACAAGACACATTGTTTCTGTTTGGAGAGTAGGAAAGGAACTTCCAACATCCTGTTCTTTCTCTCTCATCCCTCCACAAACTTCACCATAAGGTAAAAACCACTGACGATTTATTTGTGATCAATTTGCTCAAGCCTGAGGAGCTTTAAATATAATATTTATAGTTTCCAGTTCTCCAAAACAAACATCGGTTCAAAAGTGGAGGTATATGAGCAGATTGTATAAACATCACTTTCTTAGATCTCTCTTACAAAAAGCAGAGATGTAGCTGATTAAAAAATAAAAACTTTCTCCTCCCCTAATGTAAATGCTCATTCAGTGAACAGGTTTTTTCTTTCTCTTTTTTCTTTTCTTCAACGTTTTTCCTTTCCAGATTACAACAGATTCCTGACTTCACTGAGGTCAGGTGCACCAATCAAGTTAGGAAACTGCGACTTACGAAAAAAAACGCAGCCCAACAGCTTGGTTTTTTTTTAGTGTTAAGTGTTTTGAGACCCACAGATGTACAAAATATCTTTTCCTGTATGAAATATCTTTTCCTGACACTGTGGATAAGGTAAAGAGCAACAGTTACTTCTGCACCTCTAAACATCCTTTTCTTAATAGCTACTGGAATATTGCAATCCAAAGCACTCAAGGTGCAAGAATGATTACAAGCCCAGCTTCTAGGATGTCTGAGTAGATGACAAGATAATAGGCTCTATGTCTTTTTTCTCCCAAAGCACTTGATTCCAAAGAATCATGAGCATAAATTTAATATAGGAAGGTAAAACTGTATTTCTTGTGTGTTACTTTTTTTCTACAAGATAAGAGACTATCTTAAGAGAAACAGAATACAGCAGAGGTGCCCATACCCTGACGTGTGACTTATCCTGGTAAACATAGTGCCTGCTAAATAGAAGGATGCATTATGCAGGAATTAAACAGCACAGGTTTGGTTCATCAAACAGAGCCATGAGACTGACGTGTTCTTCTCAGTCTTTTGTGATGTTCCAGTACACTCAAGCAAAGAAGTGAGGAAAACAAAACTCTCTGGTCTCCTTCACACTTGTCTCACACCTGCACAAACTGTTTCCCCAAAAGATGAAATCCATACATAACTTATTTTCTGACCAATTTACTTCCTTCCTCTTGAAGGAGATGACTGCAATAATAGTTTATTTCTCAGATGTGATGGAAATAGACTATAATCTAGAGGAGGAAAGGTAATCTGTTGTTAAAGACAGGCTGTAATAACCATCTGATCTATACTGTGCGTAACAGAGCACAACCTCAACAAATTCTTCTTTGAACAGTTCAAACATCTCTTAGAAGGCGATGCCCTCTTGAGGTTGAAACACCAAATAATACAAAAGCCATTGAAAACACTGCCAAATTAGTTGAAAAGCTACCTGATTTCAATGAGACAAATATTTATCCCTGTTGATCCACCTTATATATCTAATTATTAGCTTACAATAAATTTGAAAAGCTACATGAATCGTCCTTTCCCAAGGTTTTCTTGCTTCCATTTGTATAAAGCTAAACAAGTCATAGTTTAAAACTTCTGCATAAACTAAATAGATGGATGTTGATCATTAGAAGAACACTCTTTATCTCTGGCAGACTCTGTTTTTCAGTATTCTCCGAATAATGTTATGAGAACAGAAGACAATAAACTCTGGCTTTCCATCCAGACTCTCAGTTAAGTGTCCTAAGCAGCACTTTTATGAGTTAACAGTGAAGGGGGAAAACTCCAGGTGGTGAAAAAAAGAGGAAGGGGGGCTAGCAGCAATATTCATTAAGTTACACAGTTACACAGTTTTCTCCTGATAATTGTTGCCAAAAAAAAAAAATGGAGGGCAGAGAAAGGGGCAGGAATCCACAGTGCTACATTCATGTCTAATAATCACATATTTACTTTCTATGTAAAAGTCACTATTCAGCACTGAATTTCTAAAGCCAAAATACACTGCACCCACATGGAAAACTTTTATACCCCCGTTTAAAAAAACATACTAATCCACAAAACCAAAGTTAACAGCAGTTCAAATACAAGTGATCATAACACGACCCCAGCTTAGAAACAGAATAAGGTTCAAATTACTCAGCTGCATTAAACACCAATTAATGTTTTATACTTAAAAATGTTATAACATGTAATGCTTAAATGGAGGAAAAAATTTTATTCCACTTGCTCAACAATGGCTTTTATGTTCTCGTCAATTATTCAATTATCATTTTTAGTAAGTGCATGGTATAAATAACAGATTTTTGGGTTCCTTCAGCTTATTCTTAATTGAAGTCCCTCCTTGTCTCTACCAAGCATATTAAGAGAAAGCTCCCATCTCTGTTCAGACTAAAAAGACCCTGGTTCTTAAAAAAAATAAATGACGCACACAAGCTCTCCTGCTCAGACTGTCCAGTAGTCATGAGCTTTTCGGTCTGCCCTATTGTAAGGCTTCAAATGGAAGCTCACATTTTCCTGACAATACACACACCTATTTTCAGACATTTCAGTGCAAAAATGATCACTGTGCTTATTCTGCACTGGTAAGAATGGGGATGCATTGAAAAGCATACAGGGAAAAAAATCCAAACCAACAACAAAAAAAGCAAGGAAACAACCAAAACCACTCCACTTTGCCAGTAAACAAAATTTGATAACCTAAACATATGAAGCTGAGTTTTATCTTTCCCTTTTCAGGCAATACACAATTTCCTGCTATCATGCAGGAATAAGCTAAAGTGCCTTTCTGTACCTCAGTGACTCGGAACAAACACCAATGCTCTGCTGGTCAACCCTGGCCTGCCTCAAAGACTGTCCAGAATAGAAGCATTAGTAAAAGACATGCAAAAACCCATTATGCCTTTCAAAGGCAGAAAAATCTCACTTAATGCTTCAAGTAGAAGTCGTTTCAAATCCAAGAAAAATCTTGAAAACAACCCTCCATAGGCACAAGGTGCAGAGATGATCAGTTAGTGCCAAGTCTATTAACCATTGACAAGAATCAGCCTTTAATATGCTCATGTCATCTTTGGATGTTCAGAAGGGATCCTGCCAATCCATTTATCCAATGCAACTAAATTTAAGCAGCACATCTGACTGTCAAGCTCGTGAAGAACAGCAGCCCTGGATTTAGCTTCCTACCTGGCAGTTCAACTAGGGCATCACTATCCAGAAAGACAAGGTTCCGTTTGGATAGTAACAATGATCAAAGCTGAAGAGTTATCTTAAAAGCACGAGTTTCTGTCACCAGACAGAGCACACAAAGACTAACTACATTCCGCAAAATTTCTTCAAATTTCTAACACTGTTTTCTGTGTTGAGAGTGGGTCTGAAAAAATCATGAAGGGAATAGGGCTAAAACTTCTAACATCATAGCAACTGAAGAATGGGCTGAAAAATTCAGTTTGGACTAGAAATATTTCACTGTACAGTACTAAGAACAGAAATAAAGATAAGTCTCTTCTATACCATAGTCTGGAGCTGCACTACTTGAGATAAGCAGAACAATCTGGTAGGCATCCAAAAAGGCAATACCAAATGAGGAGATATAGGGCTTGCCTCGCCCTCCCAAAGCCATCTGTCTTGAGATAGAGCAACTACAGGAGGTTTGGCAAACAGGGATAAGATGGCCCCTTTGATCTACAGCGTTTTGTATTATACAGGCATTCAACTGACTAGGAAGTGTTTTCACTGCATATTTCAGTGGTTCTGTCCTTCAGAATCGTTCCAAAAATGAGCTACTTTCTCTTTACTGATTACAATGGGAATCTAGGAAGAAGCCTCCATGTCTGCAAGTGAGCCTTCATGAAAACCACTCCAAGGCTCTAGCTTCAGAGAAATAATATTTTTAATAACGAATGCAGTAGAGGAGTATTTTAAAATACTGTTGCTTCTGTCTAGATTTCTTCTCTGCAACAAGTAAATGTGCTAACACTTTTATGAAGTTCACTGTACTCCTGTCATGCATTTAAAGTGATGGGGGCAGGGGTTACACTGGGAGAAAATTTTAACAGACACAGATAAGCATCACCTAATTCCATTATGGAGGAGTTTTCAGAGGTAACTTTGGATTCCTTAGACATTGAATGCTCCCCTTCTCCTTTGGCCAATATGGACAGAACTCTTGGCAGCAGTAGTCTCTAACTGTTGGCTAGACATGTGTCTCAAAATTCAACTATAAGACCAACATGTTTAGCTACATTTACAGTTTAGGAACTGGAGAACTAAAAGTGTTGTTCATATTATTTCATGCAGAACATTAGTAGCAAACATGGTTGAATAATGTTAACATTAGTGTCATAGTCATGTAGAATACAGTAAGCAGACAAACCATAGTGGCTTATTACTATCTTTTCTAAACAAATAAATTGCTAGTTATACTTATTTTTTCTTATATTTCTCTCAACAGAAATTACTTTCATTTTTGAGCCAGAACTTTGTCAAGTGAGTTACAGACTTACCTTGTTGCGTGTTTTTACTTTCAATTTAGTCTTCTGTTTCCTTTTCAATTTTTTCTTGCTAAAAAGTTTCTTACTCCTGAAAAAGAACAGAAAAGCCATGAGAACAAAAGAATTAAACTCCCTTCCATACCTCATGGTAAACAGCAGCACTAGCAGAGGAAAAAAAAATGTCATAAGTCCTCTAAATTTTTTTCTCCTACGCAAAGGGAACCAACACAGGCAGAATTTCAGAGTGTAAATCAGAATATAAAGCACTCAAAATTATGCTTTTTCTAATGCTCCACTGAATTAAGGACCTTTAATCTCACCAATTTAAGCAGAACATGTGCTAGGACAGAAAATAAAAATCCCTATATTTTATACTAGTTTACCCTGCTGTTTCTATTTCAATTCCGTTAGTGCCACATCAATGCTAGCAGCTACAATTATTGATGATTCTCAGTGTTGTGTACCTGTTGGTACACAACGCGTACGTTTTGAGAAGTCTTTACTAGATAAAAATTCAAGTCTTCCAAGACAAAAAGGAAGCTTTAAAAATGTATCATTTGGCAGAAAATTCAGTTGGTAGAAGAAACTGCAACACGGCTTTTGTAATTTTTGTCTGGACTTTTCCCCACCCTTAGCTTACAAACTTTTCATTTCCATCCCTTAATATTACAGCTCTAGCTAACACACGCTCGTCTAATTCCTCTTCTGCCCACACCTCATTCCTATCACATTCTTTTTCTCCTCCACCATACATACACAAATAATTGTTTCGTCACCATCACTGACATTACTGTGTTTGAGATACATGCTTTTAACCTACTCTACACTTCTCTGGTCTGTACAGACTATGAGCCCTCCGCAGAAAAAAGAATATGGCAGATGTTATTTGTGCAGCATTCAGCTCATCCTATAGAGGACTTTAAGCAACAGCTACTGACATTCCTCTGCACTACTTCAACATTACTCAAATAGTTTACAGTTCAGATGAGTTAGAAAAATAAAACTGGAATCTGAAAATCAGAGGTAGTAAGAAGTGGCACTTTCAGTTAACAAATTGGAAGGAGATGAAGATGCTTCTGCTTCTCAATATTTTATCCAAACAACTTGGTTCTATATAAAAATTTTCAAGTACTAAAAACATTGCTTACTACCTTCTCCCGTACAGCATTAAGATTTCAAGAGTATACAAGTCTCATGGTCCAGCAGCGAAAAGCTGGAAACTGAAGTTTGACCAATGGCCACCAGTCAGAAAACAAACTCAAACAAAGGACCTCTGCAGAGTATCCCAAGAAAGCTGTCTGCTTGACATTTCATCATCTTTTCCATCTTTACCTAATAACAAAGAGGAAGGTATATTCCTCATCAAGACACTTCCTGCAGAAACAAATCAGCTCAACTCCTTTCTTATGAGGAGCCACCACCATCATCCTGGAGTTAAGAGAAGTGATTCACAGTGAGGGGGAACCTTCTATCCTCCCCAGCACGTTAAATCTTATACAGAGAATCTACATGACCTGCTAAGGTTCCTTCAAAAGTACAGGCTCAATGTATAACAGTATACAAGCTATTTGAGAAGTGGGGGAAAGAAATTTCATACAACCTTTAAAGTCCAAATTTCTATAATCAAACTCCATAGTCCATTTCACTATTTAGTTATTTTTGCATTGGACAAGTTTTTCTTCCTTACTAGAAGTTAATTCTTATTCTGCTGTCAAACACAAAGAACAGTGCAGTCCTTTCCATTTTGCAGCCACTCAATCTTGTTCTCTGGACTAAACAACTTTTTATGAAACTTGCACCCTAACTGTAAGTGTGAAAGTCCTGATTTATTTTGGTCGACTTCTGGTCTCCCTCAGTCCCTACCACAAGTAAACCACGTTGACCAAACCTGAAAACACTTATTATTTGCTGTTGAGAAGAGGAAGAGGAATTGTTTCCTATGCGTCCAAGGTCACACTTTTAACTGTATTTGGCAGCTTCACAGCAATATAGCATGACAGACCTATGTAACTCAGAGTAACTTCAAAACATTTTCCTGCAAACCTACAAACTGAGCTTTCAATACTCTTTATCTAGTTGTGCTGTTAATTACGTCTTTTAAACATAGTACGATTTGCACCTACCAGAGACAACTTGCTAAGTATTGCTTTTTTCTTTTCTATTTTTTAAAAAAGGGCACTAACTCAAGTTGCCAAGGCATTTCAAATTTAATCCTGCCTGCCAAAATCCTTGCAAACTCTCCAAATTTGTTATAGTCTGCAAACACTATAAGCACTTTTTCATCTAGTAAATATTTCCCAGGACCAATCCTCGTATTTTTGTATGTATTTCTCTGTGTGTATGTATACGTCTAGAAACCATCAAAATTAAGTCTTCCCCCGCCCCCTAAGATTTGGCTCATTTCCAAAATGACAAAAACACCCACCATTTTGCACACTAACTTCATTTATCAATGATACCTGGACAATGTTTGCTCCAACTAGCAAGCAAGATAGATTAGCAATGGGTTTACTTTCTCTTTCACATTCCATGTGGTGGTGCTATAATCTCCCTCATTTATACATCAACCATTAAAGATGCTGCAAGTATAAACTTTTCCTAATCATTCCAACATAGCAGTCATTATCTTCAGCAAGGTTTAGACTTGAACATTTTTCTACATGGAAACAATTTGGATATAGAAATGTCCACATTTGAGAATCCACATTTATCTCCATATTTTGTCTTAAACAAAACCTCAAGGATATTGAAATCCTAATGTTTCTGTTGGGAAGTATACTTTACCCCTATATCCAAACAAAACTTCAAAACTAGTAAATGATTAATTAAAAACAAACAAACAAAACAAAACACCGCATCAACACTAATTTCATAAACAGTTCTGGTAAGTTTATCATTACTATGCATTATACTAATATGTGTATAATGTATTCACATATAACATATCAAGATATACATGATTGTCCACATTTCAACTGTTATAAACCATTATGCCAAAAGGTTTTAATATTCAGATAGAAAAGATAAAATATGTGCAAGTATATTCATGAAAAACACCCGTTAAACAGATTATGAGTAATTTCCTGTTGGAAACCGCATGTGTTAATTATAAGCCTGACTCTTCTACTGCCTGAAGATTAACAAGACCTGATATGGCTCAGTTGGATTTTTTTAGCTAAATTATTAATTATGTTTTTGGTTAACAACTGCAAATTGCTGTAAGCTATCATTTGCAAAACTCTTGAAACTCTATGCTGACAATCTGCTTCCAGCAGCAGAAGGCCTTTAGACTTTAACTTTTAACTCAGCTGTTGATACCGTTTAGTTCACACAAACCAAACACGGATTATCAGCAAATCTTAGGCAGGTTTTCTGCAAACTGCTTCAAGCCATTCTAACATTTGAGACTAAGTTAGCAGTTTTGAGTCGGACCACAAAGGAAGTGCAAGCCAAATGAGAGCAGAACATGAAGATATCTTCTCAAACCAAAGCGGGGGTGGGGAAAACGGGGAGAGTAGGCAACAACTAATTGCTGGACAATTTAAAATACGTGAAATAACTGTTAAATGACATGATTGCAACTTCTATTCAGCTTTGTGGCACCTGCAGTAGAAGGAAATAAAACATGCTTAGGTTTTTTTTTGTTTTCAAACGAGAAATGGCATTACGTAGTCCTTGCAATATTTGCTGCATTAGGGAGATGCTCTTCAGTTCTCTCAACACCATTGCTCTTACTCTGTTAAAAACCACTGAGGAAATGCAAACAAAGCATCTTCCCTCAGAGTCACAATAGTCCTGAATTGTAATTTATGAGCTTAAATTTGAGAAGGAAGCTTTATGCGTTGAGTGTCCTCACCACTTAAGGTTGTTACTGAATTACTCAATACGAGTTAAGGTTACGTTAACCTTATGTTAATAGTGTCACGACTGCATAAGCTCTTCTAGCCTGTATGTTACACTAAAGGTGTCACTGATGAGTGGAAAAAATACTATTGTCTCTGCTGCTGAGGCAGAATAGGAACAACAAAAGTGTTATTCAACTGCTGTCTGACCTTTGCTTCTATCTGAAATGTGTTATCAAAGGTCATGGTAGTTAGTACAGCATTGGACTCAGTCATTCTACTGTTAATTAAATCTTTGACTACACTTTTGAAAAATTAGTGAATTTAGTACACTGCATGCTAACACATGCTAAAAGTTTTAAAACTTCCAACTGACTTTGACTCAGTGTATTTGCCTAAACTTGCTTGCTCTGGTTCAATGAGTAAGCATCTTCAGGAAGAAGCATACTGTTGACAGGAGTGGTCTACCCAAGTCACGCTGTGTCCAGACAAATGACAAATACACTGTATTATTTAGTTCCCACAGGTGCTCAATCTGCGCAGTTAGCTTCAGCATTCAAGGGCCAGTGGAAATGTTCTTATGAGGCAACAACCACCCAGTAACACCGAAACGAAACACTGTCAGATTTGTGATATCAAATAATTCTTTTGTTCCCTCCACTTGGTGAATTATTGCTGCTGGCGCTCAGTTTAACTGGATAAGAAGCAGCAAGCATTTGCTTCTGAACAGCCCAAAGTGAAAGCCCAAGCTGAAATTGTCAAGTAGCCCACAACCGCAACATGTAGTCACCAGCAAGTCTCAAGGTCTTTCATCACAGCATCGAGTTCCTTAAAAAGCTCTAAATCTTCCAACACGCTTCACTCAAGCGCAGTGAAATGCGAGCACTGACATGTGGACATTGGTTGAAACATAATGAACTGATGTTTCCTCCACTGTTTTCCTCAGCTGACCCACACTGGATAACAGTGTAAGATCAGCAATACTTTTTTATGTGCAGAAATCACGTAATAACTAGTGCCATTTGGCAGTTCTCTTTGTACAGGTATTTTACTGCCATAAAGGTTCTACAAATTACAAAACACGTTATTCAGAGGTTGTCACTACATGACGGAATATCGTGTTTGCCATAAAGGCAGCGGGACTACAGGAAGACTAATTGGTCCAAAGCAGTTAGACATCAGCCATAGTGCCCCGTCTTATGTACCTTAAGTTCTGCTCCACAAATTGTCAGAAGGGAGTATCTGACTTGCAAAATTAGTGATTTTCTTTCTAAATAAGCGTATTACGACACCTGACTGCCATAATTTTTCAAAGACTTTTCTTTAGCATCAACCAATAGCACACAATCACCACTACTCCCAAGTCACCACTCGAGAACTGAAGTACTACAGACTTATTTACAAGGGGTAGATGGGGAAGAAAAGACTATTTATCAACATAGAATGCCCAGAAAATGCGATGACTTCATTAATCTCTTCTTCTATAGTCTCAGGGGTATAAATTATACTTTAGCAAACACCATCATTTTCACTTTCTACCATTTAGTTTGATGGTTTCCTTCACCTTCCCACATCCCAACTTCACAAGAACTTTCATCATAGTTGTTGCAGAACACCAACTGGATTGTACTTGTCCTCTTTGCGATTCAAACAGAATATGAAACAGATGATTGCAAACCAATTGAGAGCTTAAGGGTTAGGATTAGAAAGCAGACCAATATCGGTTGTCTGCTACATACAGTCTGATCGAGAATTAGATGAGGCCTGCAAGAAAACTCACATTCACAGGTCCTGGGACTTATGGGAGATGTTAACTAACCCAATTATCTGCTGGAAAGGAACACAGCAGGGCGCAAACAATAGAAGAGGTTTCTGGAGCACATGGATAATTTCATGACACAGGTGACTGAGTCAATGAAAGAAGACACTTTGCTGGAGCTGACACTTAAACAAGGAAGAACCAGTCAGGCACATGAAGGCTAGGGGCAGTCATGGATGCAGTGACAAAGCAGGTGAAGTTCAGGAACCTGAAAAGAAGGGAGCAACGCAAAAGCAGGATCACAACTCTAGACTTCAGAAGAACAGACTTTGGACTGTTCAGCAACCTACTTTGAAGAGTCTCATGGGATACATTTCCCTGGAGAGAAGGGTGCAGAAGAGCTGGCTGATTTTCAAGGATCACTTCCAAGTTCAAGAATGGTCTGTTGACACACACAGGAAGTCAAACAAAGCAGACAGGAGGCCTGCATGGATGAACAGGAGTTCCTGACAAAGCTCAAGCATAAAAAGGAAGCATACAAGAGGTGGTAGCAGGGTGATGTCACCCAGGAGAAATATAGAGACATTGTCTGAGTGTTCAAGTATGGAGTTATAAAAGCCAAAGCCCACCTGGAGTTCAGTCTGGCAAGGGACATGAAGAACAAAATTGCCTTCTATAGGTGCATCAGTAGCAAAATGAAGACTAGGCAAAAATGTGAGCGCAATGCTGAATGAGTGCGAACTTGGTCACAAGGGACACTGGTCATCTACATATTTACTGCTAAAACTAGCCTTCAGCAACGCCATATGCCTGAGACCAGAGGGTA